CATTGACAATCTGTAGGAACATTATTGTTGAACCACTGACAGATTGTCTTCCAATCATCGCCCCCAAGTGGCAAGCATGCTTCAATAAGATCGAGCAGAACTTTTGTTTCAGCATTCTTAAAAGTCAGAGAACCTTTGGTGCGAGCCATTGTTAAAGTGTTCGTGGATTATGGGTTTAAAAAGTAGGGTTGAGGAAATGTGGATATGAAAAATAATGGTAGCAACAATGAGATATCCTAGGTCCTTTTATTTACAGTATATCCTTTACATATGAGCTCGGCTAAGATATTACTCTCTTCCCTTTTAAAAAAAACTGACTGAGTTGTAGCTGTAATATCCAATAAACCAAAGGAGACAGAATAAGTTAATGAGACCCGAAAAGAATTGAAAATGGTTTATTATGATAACAAAAGTTCTCACTATTTATAAGAAATGGCTTATCCTTGGCAACTACTACAGCATGTGCATTGAACAGATTAATTGATGTTATAAATCAATCATATAGGATTAAGTAATATATGATGTGTGAGTAAAAGGTACATCCAGGTAAATGCCTCAGATAGTAGCTAATGTGAATTACGTGATCCCAATAATAGCAACTTCTTCCTGAGTATAGCTGATCGGTGTTTCACCAAGATGTGTATGAATAAAGAAGTGTCCGCACAAGTGAGGCTATGAGGGAAATAACAGTAATCGTTAATGACTGATTAATGAGTATGTGTTATTGATCATATTGGATACAACAGTAGCAGTTACCTTTTTCAGTGAAGAAGTAAAGTCTTCATGTGTCAACAACTGGCGGATGCTAGAACAATAGTATTTCTACTTGTGGATTTCCACCTGAGTTGACATCTTTTTCCTTTTTGAGTACATGCACCACACTGCTCTATCACTTTGCATCTACATATGATGCTTTTAGCTCGATGATAAAATCCATCAAAAGCGCATTCATAAGGAAAACAGAAATCTTCTCTTTTTCATTACTATTTTTTCGAGCCTTCAGCTATAGATGACGATATTCTTACTGCCACTTATGCTGCAACCTTCTTCTATCTTTACTTTGTTATTGTCGTCGATGTCTGGAGTAGAAGACAGTGTGATATGCGCTACCACATAACCTGCTCTACGCTTCCAAATCACTATGAGGATTCACTTGCACTTATTACCTTAGCCAACCAGGTTGACCGTCAGTTTATTAGTTGCTTTGGATTTACTGTTGCCGCTTTTGATCGCCTGCATTGCCAGTTTGTGCGCTTTTATCTAACTCCAAAGCAGCATGGTCTTAAACGGTTTTTGCCTTCTGAAGCTGTCTTGGCTCTCACTCTGACCTGGCTCCATACATAGGAGACAAGTCAGTATCAAAAGGATTTCTAGAAATTTGAAGATATTTATATTAATGTAATATTTTTGAATTTTGTGCTAATAATTTTTTTACGTTAAAGTTTTTGTTATAATTAAAATATATAATAGGAGACTTATTGAAATCCTTCGGATTTCTAATTAAGTCTAGATAACAACCTACCAGTTGTTTAGGTTTGACTTCGTCAAAGTCCAGACCTCTTCAAAAAAATTAATTTTTTTTTTCAGACACACCCCAAACATTAGGAAGAGAACTATCGATTCGATTTTAATAAATCGAATAAAATAAAAAAAAATAAGACTTATTTTTTTATATTTTAAAATCTTAATGATTAGTAGATTTCTTAATTTCATTAGATATCTTACTATTATAAAATATTCGACTAGTCTTCATATTCATATTTAAAAAGAATTAAAAACTTATACTTTATAATATAAATTGTTAACTTTTTTTTTAATTTTAAATTTTAACTTTTATATTTTATAATATAATTTTTTAAACATTATAAAAACTTAAATTCATATTTATACATTTATTAAAGATTTAAAACATAATTATATTAAACAGAATAATCAATAAAATTATCACAATAAATTATAAATTAATTAATATCTAAAGTCATTAATTCTGATTTTGTTAATTTATAAAGAAATAATATTAATTTCGAAACCAACAAAGACATAGTCTCCCCTCATAATAAAATATCATAATTATTTTTATTTTATGTAGCATATATTTGAAAAGTTAATGAATAACGTCAGCTGTCATTGTAATAAACTTTTTATCACTATAGCTAAATCTAATATTCCTTCATTACATATATATATATTTTTAATTTTTTTGATATTTTTTCTCTTTTTTTTCAAAATTTATAGATTGTTATCTCTCTTTTTTTTCTTTTTTTTTTAGGTACATGTAGTTTACTATGTTGAGAACATAGAAAATCAGGTTTATTGTCACTAATATTTGTTCTTATTTTCCGATGACACATATATCCTTCTTTTTTTCCTCTTTTATAAATATATGAACATATATTATTACTGCTATTGATATACCAAAAATTGTTTTTCCAATTTTTCCTTTATGATATTTTTCATCAGTTTTTGTTTTTTTTCTTTCAAATAATATAGAATTTCATCATCAAAATATTTATCCATAACTTGAGTTATGATATCTTTCATTGAGCTTATCATAGTTTGTTTACATACAACGATTTCTGTGTTGAGGAACACCATTTTTTTTTATTAGTTAATATTATTGTGATTATATTTTTATATTATAAAAAAAATTCAATTTTGTTTTTTCGATTTTTAAAATTCAGCTGATAATTAAAGATTTGGTGATAGCAAGTTATATAGTAATAAACTGATTAGTCCTCATACAGTAGACAGGAGACGATCGGTTCCCTTTACGATGCTATACCAGCTACTGCCATAAAAGCAAGGAATTTTGGCCTAGAGACGCTGTACAAGGTCTTCTTGAACATGAACGACAGGCGATGGCGAATTCGTTGGTCATCACAGTAAGAAATGGCTCAATTTGCATCAATAGTACAGTATGTCGAACCATCGTTGCAACATGTATTCGGCTTCATGGATGGACTCAACCTGAGAATTGAGAACCCAGGCAAAAGCAATATCTAGAATGCATACTACAATGGGTGGCTGTCAGACTGCTATATATATGACAGGTCATTGTTTTCACACCAGATGGTCGCATATACTGCATCAAGTAGGTGTCATGCAAATTTACTTTTACTTCACATTGCTATTTAGTATGAATGGATCACTGACAATTGAGCTTAACTTAGCTACAACTGCCGTAGATCATGGCCTAGGGTTCTTCATTTTATCCAACATCTGGTAATCTGATCTGCTCATCTATCTATCCATACTTTTCTTAAGAAAGAATTCTTTGCTTCATGAATCTTTTGGATCCTGCTCCTAGCGTAAAGATTACAGTATACATCACAACAGCAACAGCATTCTGGTACTGTCATGCTGCTACTAATGATGTTGCAATTGCTTTGAATTACAAAGAAAACACATACCGATCCAATATTTGTTTATCTAATACAACCTTTCAGAGACAGATTTCTACAAAATCATGTGCAGTCCATCTTAAGGATCCTTATGGGAACTGAAGAACCGATCCAAAAGTCGGGTCGGATCGATTCTGGTCAGGCTGGTTCCATGGAAGAACTGAACCAGAACCGACTCAGTTCTCTTTGCTTGGAACCGAGGAACCGAGTATAGATTCGTAGTGTCATTGCCATTGAATGCATTGACTGTACAAGAATAATCATGAATGGAGAAACAAGTAAAGTTGTTTTTTTAACTATAGGTTTATTTATTTCTTCTAAAGAAATGGATATATTTTATGAGAAGTACTATGCGTACGAGTTTTTTTTCTTACGCATACGAGTTTTTCTGAGCGGGTTTTTAAAGTAGTTGTGTTATGAAACCTTGTATAGCCAATCCAATTGCCAGTCTTACACATACGAGCTTTTTACTAAAGGAACTGAACAGTATATGCGTACGAGTTTTTGTCTATCCATCAATCTTCCGTTTTTTTGAATGGCCTTGTCAAAATAAATAGCTATTATCATACTTCTTGATGTACAAACTGCTCATTAAATGGGCGCAATGGATTTATTTACGCTGTTCTTTTCGAGATCTTACACGTCTGTTCTGCCACCATACAGTAATGGCATATATAAGTTTTGCATTCGCTTCTTTTCTTTAAGTTCTTGGCCTTTTCCCCAATATTTGATGCCACACCAAGCGATATCAGGACTCTAATCAATCAAGCAACTCACTTGTTCATGTGAAGGAGTTTTCTACTGAGTCCACATAGGTAACAATCACTTATAAAAGAGCTCTGAGCAGTGCTCTTTTACGCTTACGAGTTTTTTTAACATGTATCCACGTAAATCATAAGTAGCGGGGACACGTTTTGACAGTTATCTGCTTACACGTACGAGTTTCTTTAATCCTGGTTCCACGTGGATCATAAGAAGCTGGGATAAGTTTTGACAGCTATCTGCTTACGCGTACGAGTTTTTTCTATCCTGGTTCCACGTGAATCATAAGTAGCTGGGATATGTTTTGACAGCTATCTGCTTACGCGTACGAGTTTTCTCTATTCTGGTTACAGTGGGTTATTTGTTATTTGAAAACCATTCAACAGCTCCACAGGAAGTTGAAGTCTCATAGGATAGTTGCTTACTGTACTTTCAAGTACTATATACTCTTTAAATGTAAAAAGATTTTGATCTAACATATTTAGTGGAAGTAATAGTAAGTTTAAGTACTCCTTTACTACTTCATTACAGTAACAATATTATAGAGCGATAGCACACTACATAAGCTACTTTATGTTGTGTACTCTATTTGCTGAGTCATATATTTAACGCACCGTGACACTTTACTATATGACTAATAAATGTCACATGGTTTGCTACTTGATATTATATTCAGAAGCATGTGTTTTAAGAAAATGTTAAAAGTTTCTCTCCGCCGGGCCGTGGGGAATAGACATTATATATACTGTCGAGTCGTTCGAATATTTACATTGCCCTCTTTTTTCTTTTCTTTTATTCTATCACTTCTTTATACTTCCAAAATACTATCAAATCCGAATGAGTGAGCTTATCAGCAGAAGATATTTCAGCTACGAGAAAATCCAGGTGGACGTTCAAATGTACGCCAAGACACATGGTTTTGCTGTTAATTTCAGCATCAACGGTCTTAGAAATATGGTTTACTGTCAGTGCACGTGCAAAGGGGAGTATATCGATGAACGAGGCGATCAACGTCAGCGCAACAAGAGTACCAAGAAGACAGGCTGTTGTTGGCGTGTAACCGTCTCGCTGCCAAAGAAGTCCCAAGTGTCGGGCCAAGAACCACAATGGGAAGTTCGATATGTACATATCTACTCTGGAGAGAAATACAGTATCAAGAAAGGCAAGACCACTGTCTCAACTGAAGACTCCAGTGACGTGGTGCACCACAACCATCCACTTGTCCAAGACGTCAAGGCTCTGTCCAAGGTGTATCATTAGCATCGTAAACCCACCGAGCCCGTAGTCCGAACCCTGTCATCTATGAGCCGTAATGTCCCAGCACCTGAAGTTGTGCATATCATTGATAAAAAGCATGATGGATTTGTAATGACGACTAAGGATGTGCAAAACTTTTATTACAAGACCACCGGTACTTTAGGAGCATCTAGCGAATTTACTCTGTTGCTGGACTTTCTGAAAGCTTAGAATTATATCATTCATTACGATGTGACGGCGTCAACAGGCACTCTCAAGGCACTTTTTGTAGTGCACCCGGACTCGATTGTAATGGCAACGTAAGTGAAGTGTACCCAGCAATACAGGATTTTTCCTAATGATTGGCGGGGCTTTTTTTCCCATCATGGCGGGGCTTTTTTTTCACTTTGTCGTTGGGGGTGTTTGTGATTGGCGGTGTGATTTTCGTGAATGGCAGGAGGAAAAAAATACAATGGCGGCCGAGTTACAGGTTGATGGCAGAATAATAAATTCATAATGGCGGCCGTAATTTCAGGTTGATGGCAGAATAGTAAATCCATAATGGCGGTTGGGTAATTATGGTAATCGTTTTGCCTTCTTTTTCTCAGCATGACAGTTAATGATTTTCGACAACTCTATATTTTATTAAAAAAAACATATATATATATATGAAAAAAAAAGTAAAAGGAAAAAATATAGAAGGGCAGTAAAAAAACATATAAAATATGAAAAAAAACTACAGCATCTTCTCTCCTTCTATACACCTAGGCACAAACGTAAGGGAGTGGCGAATCCATCCTTGGCAATCTTGGGCGGTGACTTCATGGGCGGAGTTGATGATGCGCGGCAGCAAGGTGTCGTCTGTGGTCAGTAAATGGCGTTTGACACCTGCCTTGAGCTTTGACCAAAATTCCTCAATTGGATTGAGGAATGGGCTGTAGGGCGGGAGAAAGAGGATCTCGAATTCTTGCTTGGCAATGGCATCCCGAACTTCATCAGTCTTGTGGATAGCGGCATTATCCAATACCAAGGTCCTTCCACCCATACCATTTTCGGTGAGCACCTTCATCATCACTTCCAAAAATTCGATAAAATGCTCCGCCCGAGTGCCGATTTTGCCCATCACCTTTTCTTCACCGTCACGCGTCTTGCGTTTCTTGGAAGCGACAACCGCTTGAGGTCTCTGGAGACTCAAGTTGATTACACCTTCACCAGTGATGGCACCCAAGATCGTAATATTGACCCCACGCGACTTAGAAACCAAGGCCTTGGCGGGCTCACCTCGTCTCGATCGACCAAAGCTACGCTTGATGTGCATATTGAAGCCAGCCTCATCAATAAAGACGCATTTGTGGTAATTAATGCCACTGGCTTCAAATGCGTGTGCCCAGTTGATCCGGGAAGCGATCGTTTCATCGGAGTTGCGGTACTCAGAGATCCGTTCCAACTTCTTCATAGTAAGCCCGCATTTGCTAACAAGGTGCTTCTGGAGGCCACTTTGAGTGATGCTGATGCCGAATCGATCAACAAGCGATTGCTGTGCTTCTTTGAGGGTCGCAACTGACTTGGTATCGTAATACGCCTGGAGAAATGCTGTGTGTTCGGGTGTCAAGGTTGGTGGAGGACCGGGAGATTTACCCATTGTACTTGGGAGATATGGCTCACCGTCGACAAATCGTTTCCAGTATCGCTGTGCGGTTCGTTCAGGGATCAACAAGTCGCGCCCAGCCTCTGCAGCGTTTAAAGTGACATTTTGGATTCTATCGATCAATTGGATAATTTCTGGATCTCAATACACTCGATGAGCTCCTATAGGAATTAAGAGTTTTGGATTAGATATCAGAAGCAACTAGAGGTTTAATGTTATTAAGTAAGGTTTAGTAATAGTAAGTAGCATACTTTTTGGGATGACAGGCTCTTTTGGAGGGTTTTTGCGAGGTCTTCCCCTTCCCTTTTTCACTGATTCCGTTTGGTTTTCTGCGGCTTCAGTACCAGGCGAAGTGGACGTTGGAGGATCGATTACCTTGGATGTAGAAATTTCCTGTGAATTACCAACCATTAATTGATAAAATATATAGAATACATATCATGTTCTACAGAATTATTGACCAATATATTTTGTAAGTACCTGCGATGTAGTTTTTATCTTGGTCATCGATACAAGGGAGTGTACACCACCAGTATGGCCACTAAATTCATCGGATACGATTTGGTACACGTCGTCTACTTCCATCTCCTCTTCATGCATATCAACGTCAGTATTGTATGGTAGCGTTAAATTTTTGATGGATAATATGGTGATAGTTGATGTAAAAAATCGAGTGATAATAATACTGTATGGACAAGTACAATAAATAAAATGATTCATACTTTTCAATTCTGTGAATTTGTTATTGAACAGAACTTGTAAGGTAACACCAAATGGGACAAAAAACAGTAGTTTTTTTAAATCCATTAGATCAACTCGCAATAATGTCACCCATGTTAAACCCACTAAGCAAGATACAGTTTGTAGCTAATTATAAAAAGTATCCCACCATTGTTACATAAAGCAAGTATTTGTTTAGAGACAACCAGCAGAGAAAAAAATATTTATTAATAAAAAAAAACTATGGATGTTGTAAAGCTGCCTCCAGAATACCATCATTAACCTTCGTCAAGAAGTGGTTACTCTTGGGAGCACGGGGCCGTTTGGGTGGTGGTGGCATGTGGGGGCGGTAGATGCGGATGAGTCTTGATGCCGTTCCCTTCAGCATCTTCACCTTGGCGCCGGCTTGCTCGATTGTAAGCCCATCCCAAAAATAGGCGCGCAGCACCACTACGACCTCGTCTTGGTTGTACCCACGGCGGGGTGCTCGTTGCCGTCTTCGTGGTGGTGATGGCGATGATGGGGCAGAGGAGGCAGAGGAGGCGGAGGAGGATGGAGACCGCGATGCTGATGATGATGATGATGATGGTGATGTTGTAGTGTCTTCTTCAAAGTCACCAAAAGGAAGAGCCTTGCTCAATTCCTGAGTATTGTATACATCGAGACTGCCTTGCATGTCCACATCTAATTCAAACTGCATGAGGTCGAGGGAGGAGTCGTTTGTAGAAATGATATCGGACATGATTAATAGTAAATTTAGAATGAGTTATTACAAGCAATGGATTTGAATCATCGGTTTATATACTTTTTTGTTCCGTACCTACAGATATATATAATTAAGCAATCCACAATGGTATCTACAACAGATGACAACATTCCATTATAACGCATAGACTTGAAGTTTCAACATAGAGTATATATGAATGCTACACCAGATGGGACAAAAAAATCACAGCAAAGCATAATTACGTTATGTGTGAAGATCTAGTAAGAAGTATAATGCAGTGTTGCACGAACTGGGACGGCATAAAGTAATAGCGGAGGGTGATTCCATTCCATCTTATGTGGTTCCATTCCATTGTTTGAATAAGAAAATAAAATATAACAGCAAAGCATAGTAGCGTGTATGCGTGAGGATCTACCAAGAAGTATAATGAAGCGTTGCACGAAGTGGGACAAAAAACCGACAGCAAAGTATAATTACGTGTATGTGTGAGGATCTAGTAAGAAGTATAATGGAGTGTTGCACGAACTGGGACGGCATAAAGTAATAGCGGAGGGTGATTGCATTCCATTTCGTGCAACGCTTTATACTTCTTACTAGATCCTCGCTGTGGTTTTTTTTTGTCCCATTTCGTGCAACGCTTCATTATACTTCTTGCTAGATCTTCATATGGATACAAGCTATTAAACTTTGCTGTGATTTTTTTTGTCCCATTTCGTGCAACACTTCGTTATATTTTATTTTCATATACAGATAATGGAATGAAATCACCTTCTGTACTTTATGCCGCCCCATTTCGTGCAACATTTCATTATGCTTCTTACTAGATCTTCATGTGGATACTCTACCCTATTCTTCTACAGTACTGTAGGTTTGCAAGGATCATATCTTACTTATAGCTTATTTATTTCCTACCTGAAAATTTCTGATTATAAACTTTCTTTTTACTCTATCTGTCTGAATTCTCACTACGTAGTCCTTTCCAGCATGGCAAGCATTGTCCTTTCTCATAAAGAAATACGTGAAGCTGTCAATGTCAGTGAGGGAGAAGACCCTTACATTGGTATGTTTATATAATCGAAGATTATATCCTTTGGCCACTATTCTAATGCTTTAATAGAGGAATTTATAAGAACCTTAGATGCAATGCGGCTGGAAGAAGATTACGAACCAGTCGACGAGCTCCCCTGTGTTAAGGCAGTTCAAGATCTAGTGCAACTGGTGGAACAGCTCCAAGAAGAAATCACAACACTGACAACTGTCAAAAAACGAATATATACTAAATGGAACAAGGATGATGAAGAAATCAAGAAAGCAATTAAAGATTGTGCCCTTGAAAGACGCGACTACGGTAGAACCAAAGTTCCAGCAGCTACAATGCATCGCTGGGTTATGCAATTTATCGATACTGAGGAAGGTCAAGCAGTTTTGCGAGAGCATCATTTGAAAACCAAATAAATGCATTTCTTTTGTCAAAAAATAATTTTTTTTCTTCATACAGTAGTCTGTCTCTTTATTTTTGTGAATCATCACAAATACTGGATAAGATAACCTTACAAACATCTATTACTGGATCTTTTTGGTGGTGTCACAAACCAGCAATATAGTTTAACGGCATATGCGTAAGAAAACTAAGCCGTTTGTAACTATTTTGTATCCTGAAAGCATGTGGTTACATAAGAGAAAACCATAAACTATTTAAACCAAAGACAAGTCTATTTTCCGAATGTATAAATCACTCTATCTTTTTCGTAACAATGAACAACAACAACAACAACATCTCCTTTACAAAATTTCTGGAATTTGAATTGTGGGATGAATCCATGTTGGAACCATTCGATCCGAGTAAGTTCAACTAAACATTACTATCAAAAAACAGCGCGTTACTCATCTATTTCCATTATATATAGCTACACCTACGGATATTCTTCCGGAAGAAGACCTGGGCAACCTAGTTTACCTTGTAGTTGACAAAATGGAAACTAGTACGTCCCAAACACATTTTACCATTATTCAAAAGATGTGTGCAACTTGTTAATTTTTAGTTTACTGATGTAACAAAAACATATCTTCTGTCTAGGTCAACTGGTCCATAATCAAGGTAGCCAGGAAGACCAGGTCAGCAACAACAATTATGGGGTTAACAGAACCTTTCATACTGACTCCAAACAAGCATACTTGATCCACCTCTACTATAATATGGGGTGGTCAATACGAAAGGCAGCGGAGGAAGCAAAGATCCCGAAATCAACAGCACAAAGATACATAAAAAATAAAAAAAATAAAAAAAATAAATAAATAAGCTTTCTTGGAAAAAATTACTTTGACTGGTTTGAGTCATAGATAAATGGTGGTGGTATGAGTGAGTAGGACTATAGGAATATTCAGGGACAAAATGGTTGTAGATAGCAATAATGATCAATTAAAAATATGATATAACATCTAGTCTTACTATTTTTATATATTCCTGTAACCATAGATTTATATTGTGGTATGAGTGTGGGTGTGGGTGTGAGTGACATGTGAGATTGAGCTTGGGTTACATTTTAAAAACATATAAAGCAGCATACCTGCAATGGCAAGAATTGTTTCACTCATTCTCAAGATGTCGCTTAATCTCTGGCGTTACTTCATTACGTCGTATCACATCGTCACAGCTCTGCAAATAAAAGGTATTACATCTATTCTTATTAATCTTATTTATTCTTCTTTTGTTAATACTTCTATTATAGAGCGCCATCAAACAGATCTCGAATATCGCGTATACTTCGACAAAGAACTATATTTCCTACTAGATGAAATAGATGGAGAGGAGCTGCTGGATGTAATCTGGCGACGACCAGTCAAGCTGCCAGTGAAGACCAAAGAACCGTTCACCGAGTTTTGGCCGAATGGAATGAAGTCCGCTGGACATTGCTTCTAATGCAGGATCGGCTTTTGTGGATTGAAGAAATTTTCGCAAGATTGAAGTTTCTCTTGTGATGTGAAGTACCTCTTGTATTGTAAATAAAACCTTTTACATACACATGATCATTATTTTTCGTTTGCGATATCTTTTTTTGCGATTCTTTTATGGTTCTCAGAGCATCTATGTTGCTATATAAGGGTGATGTGCTAATCATCTAGTAGAAACTTGCCACTCCTATTATCATGTCTCATACATCTTCCCATGTTTGTGATGTATTTAATGAGATGAACTGCTTTAGTATCTAATGTCATTTTTTAAAAATGATGCCGCTAATGATATAATTCAAACCGCCATTATGAATTTACTATTCTGCCATCAACCTGAAATTACGGCCGCCATTATGAATTTATTATTCTGCCATCAACCTGTAATTCGGCCGCCATTGTATTTTTTTCCTCCTGCCATTCACGAAAATCACACCGCCAATCACAAACACCCCCAACGACAAAGTGAAAAAAAAGCCCCGCCATGATGGGAAAAAAAGCCCCGCCAATCATTAGGAAAAATCCTGTACTACTGATATTCGATATGACCTTCTTCTCTATATAGTTCACGATCAAGCAATGACCGCTCACAGTTTCATCAGCGCAATTTATAACGGTTTGACACTTTTTTATATGAAAGATGATTATTATAAGTGAAGCGTACCCAGCAATACTATTGATATTCGATATGCCCTTCTTCTCTATATAATTCACGATCAAGCAAGGACCGCTCACAGTTTCATCAGCGCCATTTATAACGGTTTGACATTCTGTTTTATGAAAGATGATTATTATAAGTGAAGCGTACCCAGCAACAGTATTACTATTGATATTCGATATGACCTTCTTCTCTATATAGCTCACGATCAAGCAAGGACCGCTCACAGTTTCATCAGCGCAATTTATAACGGTTTGACACATTTTTATATGAAAGATGATTATTATAAGTGAAGCGTACCCAGCAACAGTATTACTATAGATATTCGATATGCCCTTCTTCTCTATATAGTTCACGATCAAGCAATGACCGCTCACAGTTTCATCAGCACAATTTATAACGGTTTGACATTTTTTTATATGAAAGATGATTATTATAAGTGAAGCGTACCCAGCAACAGTATTACTATTGATATTCGATATGAACTTCTTCTCTATATAGTTCACGATCAAGCAATGACCGCTCACAGTTTCATCAGCGCCATTTATAACGGTTTGACACTTTTTTATATGAAAGATGATTATTATAAGTGAAGCGTACCCAGCAACAGTATTACTATTGATATTCGATATGAACTTCTTCTCTATATAGTTCACGATCAAGCAATGACCGCTCACAGTTTCATCAGCGCCATTTATAACGGTTTGACATTTTTTTATATGAAAGATGATTATTATAAGTGAAGCGTACCCAGCAACAGTATTACTATTGATATTCGATATGCCCTTCTTCTCTATATAGTTCACGATCAAGCAATGACCGCTCACAGTTTCATCAGTGCTATTTATAACGGTTTGACACTTTTTTATATGAAAGATGATTATTATAAGTGAAGCGTACCCAGCAACAATATTACTATTGATATTCGATATGCCCTTCTTCTCTATATAATTCACGATTAAGCAAGGACCGCTCACAGTTTCATCAGCGCCATTTATAACGGTTTGACATTCTGCTTTATGAAAGATGATTATTATAAGTGAAGCGTACCCAGCAACAGTATTACTATTGATATTCGATATGACCTTCTTCTCTATATAGCTCACGATCAAGCAAGGACCGCTCACAGTTTCATCAGCGCAATTTATAACGGTTTGACACATTTTTATATGAAAGATGATTATTATAAGTGAAGCGTACCCAGCAACAGTATTACTATAGATATTCGATATGCCCTTCTTCTCTATATAGTTCACGATCAAGCAATGACCGCTCACAGTTTCATCAGCGCCATTTATAACGGTTTGACATTTTTTTATATGAAAGATGATTATTATAAGTGAAGCGTACCCAGCAACAGTATTACTATTGATATTCGATATGAACTTCTTCTCTATATAGTTCACGATCAAGCAATGACCGCTCACAGTTTCATCAGTGCTATTTATAACGGTTTGACATTCTGCTTTATGAAAGATGATTATTATAAGTGAAGCGTACCCAGCAACAGTATTACTATTGATATTCGATATGACCTTCTTCTCTATATAGTTCACGATCAAGCAAGGACCGCTCACAGTTTCATCAGCGCAATTTATAACGGTTTGACACATTTTTATATGAAAGATGATTATTATAAGTGAAGCGTACCCAGCAACAGTATTACTATTGATATTCGATATGACCTTCTTCTCTATATAGTTCACGATCAAGCAATGACCGCTCACAGTTTCATCAGCGCCATTTATAACGGTTTGACACTTTTTTATATGAAAGATGATTATTATAAGTGAAGCGTACCCAGCAATACTATTGATATCCGATATGACCTTCTTTTCTTCAATGTATGTAGGTGACGATGACGTAATCAGCCGGCGATTACGCCCTCAAGGTAATATGTTGTGGTTTGGGTGACATCTTCAACCATACGGTCGAGGGAGAGTGCATTATAGTTCTTAGTACTATTGACTGCTATTACTCTTAGTCACTGATAGTACTTTCTGATTTTATATACATAGTTGATCATAGAAAACGGGCGCCGTCGATCTCCTCAAGGCAGCATACAATAGTTTGGGTTGGTTTCACGGAAAGTATGCTTCATATTACATTTATTTTACAAACATACATATTTGATCATAAAAAAAAAGACTGCCGCCGAATTCTTTATGGGAAGGTACTAATGCCGGCAACAGAAAACGTCATGACGTGCTTTATACTTTTTCTAGATTTCTACAGTGCTGTGCCTTTGGAGCGGACTTTGTTTTACATGGCTAGTATAGCAAGCAGAACAATATGTGGGGAGCTCTTTCGCGAATGCCACCTGAATCGCCATCTCCGAGATCTCAACAATCGTCGCCGACTCCAACGGCTACATCTCAACGCCTAACAGGGTACGCTGACGCAGCCCGCCGCTCCACCAGCACTAAAAACAGCAACCGGAAATCCATTTCCCCCAACACCTCCATCGTTTTATATAACGGTCCCCATTACGACGCAATCCTTAACACCGACCCAGCCATGCTCGCCATCGCCCGATCGCAAAATCCCAACAGCATCATCTTCAACATGCAACAACTCTGCACCAGTTCCGAAGTAGAGGACATCCTCGTTGAACAACTCGGCACAGTCGTCGCCTTGTCGACTCGTCTAAGCTCACAGAAACAACTTCTCGTTGAAGCACTTTTCAAAACTGAAGAACAAAAGAAAAAGGCACTTGAATCGGGTGTCATAGTCAAAAATGAACGTATCCTAGGCCTACCCCATGTAGCAGCCGATACCAACCTCGTTAAGATTAACTTGTATCAACTTCCAGTATGTGACCCAACTGAGTTAACTGAAGAACTTCGTTTAGCTTTGACGGCCTATGGTAAAGTCGCTCAAATCTGAGCCTATGTCTCTCGCCAGAACCATGTTCTTAGGGGTGAGGCCACCGCATTAATCGATGTCTCACTTTACGAGAAAGCCCCGACAATCCGCCGTTATCTTCACCTCAATTCACCTTTCCCCTCTCGTGCCTTCGTCAGAGCGAAGGGAATGCCACCGTTCTGCGTCTATTGCAAGACCGACGGCCATACTATCAATAAATGCAAACTCTTACACGAACAGCGACGACGATCGCCCACGGCTTGCACCAGCTGTAACACCATCGGTCATGTTAACGAAACTGATGTACGATGCATCAACCACCAAAGCCCCGACCCTACCCCCATCAACTCGGCGCCTGCTTCAGGAGCTGCGACTCCCATCCCTCCACAAACTAAACAGGAGCCTAAGACGTCGGACATCTATATGGCCGACCCCAAATCTGGCACCTCTGCGTGGGATAGCAGACATGCCCCCGCTACTACAGACGATGCAATGAACCGTTTCTCTTCGCCCAAACAATATGGTTCGCGCGATCCACTAGCCACCTCCCCCGTCACTGACTGGGCCGAAGACGCTCGCCTATATGAAGAACTCAACAATCGTCTGAAAGACATTTCTTAACAACAACAGCATCAACAACAACGAAACTCTCCGTCAACAACTGGTTCACCACAACAAGAGAACATCACTGGTACTGGCCGATCACCAACTCCACCGAATCAAACGCCTGATGTGAGCAGCTAGGCCTCACCCCATAACCCCTCTCATGCTACTAACATGGACATTGATCGGGAGTCTGCTTTTCCACCTCCCACTTCACCAAATAACACTGGCAATGCTGAACGCCGGTCTCATAGCGGGCGTCTTATCAAGACTCCCCCTCATCTTTCATCGTACATTTAAATGAGTGATACAACATCACAATCAATTTTCCTGGGCACTCTCAACGTGAGAGGCCTTCAAGGCATAGCTCGCACTGAATATAATAAAGAAAAAAACCCAAAAAAACACTTACTAAGATACTTACGCTCCTCTTCCCCCTCCCCTCTCCTTCATATATTAGCTATTCAAGAACACAACGTGACTCCCCCCTACTACCATAATATCGATTTACACCTCCAATCCCATCAATCCCTTTGGACCCCTCACTGTGCACTCTTTAGTTTAGACTCCAACATCCAATTGCATCTCGTTAATAGCTGCCTCTCTGGCCGTGTCTTACTGGCTCGGGTAACGTATACCAACAACAACATCGATCCCTTCTACATCATCTGCATCTATGCTCCAGCAACATATTCACCACGCCGTCAATTCTACCACGAATTAAGCACCACCTGGTCCACTATTGCCAGCCCCAGCATTCTCCGTCGCTGTTTCCTCATGGGCGACTTTAACCTTCAACTGCATCGACGCACCAACCATTGTCCAGCCTGGCGCGACATTATCTCTCAACATTTTACCGATTGCATCACAGAACCGGGAGACAAACCACTCCCAACTTTTAGGAGCCACTGCGCCCGCACCACCATCGATTACATATTTCGCAGCTCTGAATTAATTTCAACTACACCCAACGTGCATTACCTCAACTCATCTGAGTGGACTGATCACTGTTTGGTAACCACAGCCTTACCCCTCCCCTTCAGAACAGGCCCAGGAATCTGGCGCCTCCACCCTTATTACCTCACCCATGATGACTATGTTGAGAAACTAGACTACTTGTTTGATGTTATTCAAAATGATCCAACCACTAACAATCACAGCCCGCACGATCAATGGGACAACCTCAAAGCAGCTGTAAAGCAACTTAGCATCACCTATGGGCGCCACCTGAAACGCTCTCATCAACAAACCCAACATCTATACCGTGAACGTCTTCGAATCCTTCGGAAACAACAACCAAATCGAGACCGCCTACAAGCAATCGAGTCAACCATCGCCTCAAAACAGCTAGACGACATGGCCACACTGGCCCTCCGAGCCAAGCAATGCTGGCAGGAACAGGGTGAACGCAGTACGAAGTATTTCTACCGAGTTTTAACTCAACGCCAACAAAAACAATATATGCTGCATTTACGAGAAACAGCTACATCTACAACCTTCTTCACCACCCCCGAGACTATGTTACACCATGCACACAGTTTTTATGCACGGCTGTATACACCTGACCCCATCGACCAAGCCGCCATTGACGAGCTACTCTCCAACATACCCGCCGACGTACACCTTCAACCTCATCAACAATCAACTTTACTTAACCCAATATCCATTGACACACTTGTCACGCAACTTAAGCATACCCCAAAGAACTCCAGCCCGGGAATGGATGGTCTTCCATTTGTTTTCTGGCAGCACGCACTTACTCATCCATATGTCGCCCAGCTCGCAGTACAAGTCTACAACGAAGCACTGTCCACAGCCACGTTTCCAACCTACTGGCGGCAAACCACCCTGGTTGTGCTGCCAAAAAAAGGGGATACATCTCTCCTCAAAAGCTGGCGCCCAATATCACTAATCAACTGCGACGCCAAGCTACTGACCAAAATCATCTCTAGGCGTATGCCCTTGAATACTCTCGTTAACCCTCTTCAAACTGGTTTTATGTCTGGCCAGTCAATTGCCGATAATGGTTTTCTTGCCCGGCTGGTAATGTCGCATGCCTCACTTCAACAGCATCCTGGTGTCGCAATGCTTCTTGATCAAGAAAAAGCATACGACCGTATCCATCCACATTATCTGCAACAAGTCTTGCAGAATTTTGGTTTGCCCAATCCATTGATTTCCTGTTTACATTCCCTATATTACCCTACAAATGTTCACATCAATATTAATGGTCATATTTCCCATCCCTTCGCCCAAGGTCGCGGCCTGCGGCAAGGCGACCCACTATCCCCTCTCCTATTTAATTTAGCATTTGAACCTTGTCTACGTTCTATTCTATCTTCACCACTACTCACTGGTTTTTCTTTCTCTCCTATTAGGCACCTTCGTCTAGAAAACTCTCTCCCTGCTCCTCCGCCGTTAAAACTCTTAGCCTATGCCGATGATCTTCTCGTTTTTCTTCCAGTACCTCAGGAATTGTCAGCACTCCTCAACATCCTTGATACATACAGTCGCGCCTCGAACAGCCGGGTTAACATTGACAAAACAGAAGTCGTATCTCTTTCTGGTGCCCCACTCCCGGAGTGGATGCCGGCTCTTGCAGACATCGGAATAAACGCAATCCACGATCGTACCTCTGCCCAAGCCATCCGCTACCTTGGCTACCCACTTAGTTCTCATCCTAAACAGCTAGCAGCCTTCCTCGACAACATCATCAACAAAATACAACGACATTGTCAACTCATCCGGCAACGTAAACTTTCAATCCGAGGTCAAGGCATGGTCTTAAACTCACTCATCCTCAGCAGGCTGTGGCACGTTCTCACTGTCACGGCGGTGCCTTCATCCTTCTTTCGACTAGTTCGTACAGTCGCCCGCGAATTTCTCTCCGTTGGTTACCCAAAAACTGCTTGGTCGAACCTATGTCAACCGCGATCCAAAGGTGGTCTTGGTCTCCTCGACCCCGCCCTCCAACAACTTGCACTCCAATCACGATGGATACACGGAATTTTCAGTAGTACCTCCCCCCCTCTTATCTCGTTTTATATCCTTTATGAAGTTATGCAACACTCCAAGTCACCTTCTATATTCTATGATTTCTTCACCAGCCAACCTATATCGCTCTTTCCCCAACTACTCCATCCCATCATCAAAGCTTGTCATTCACTTATCCCCCTCACTTTTTTCCACCAACCCCTACACATTACCCCTGGAACAGCTCTTGTTATTCCCCTCAGACTCTTGCTATTACCCTCATCTTCGATTCCTGTATCCACGCGCGCATTAGCTAAGCTTCATCTATTCGATCCTTTTGTCTTTGATCCTGGCGGATTTTTACGTGTTCGTCACAACAATGAAATCGACAACCACTGCAACACCGTCTTGGCCCTCAAACGGGCCTTTCTGTCTTCACAACTCCTATTTCCGGAATGGCTGGTGGCATTGCTCTCCCCCACCGCCTTTTCTATACCATCACATTGTATAGCAGAGGAACCCCTCGCCAATGCAATCCGTTTCACAAATCTACGCTCAATCGATCACCTATCAACCGCTACTCTACGCCGCACCATCCAAGCCCCCAATCCCGATCCCACCTCTGTCACGACCATCCCAGCCCGCAGCTGGCTCAAATTCTGGCGTGCGCCGATCCCCCACAACACACGTACGGTTTGGTGGCGCCTTCTCCACAAACATATCCCCACGCGCAGTCTTCTTAATAGACATATGCCAGCAATCGTTTCTTCAGATCGATGTCCAATCTGCAATTCTCATGTCGACACTATTGACCATTTCTTTGTCTCCTGTCCTATCAAGCTGCGAGTGTGGCGTATCATCTGTCAACAAACCAACTGTGATTGGAGTACTACTGAGATCATACAATACCTCACCACCCTCCAACCCCCCACCTGTACACATCATCCACTCTCCGACACTACGATCAGCATTGTAATTCATAGCATCTGGTGCCACTATTGGTGCTTTGTTTTTGACCAGCAACGGTTCCGAGCCAGCGTCGTCGCCAAGAATGCCTGATATCACTTAGCCGAGTTCACAAGGAGCATGGGAGTGCAGTCTTCAGACGAGGAGTGAACCTTCTACCAGCTTAGTCTTCCACTTTAGTATTCTATATAATTTCCCCATTATTCTTCTTTATGTTTAAATTTTCAATTACAGGGCGTACCATTTTGGTTCCCCGTCATCAATAAAGTATACAAAAAAAAAAAGAACAATATGTGTGCGCACGGACGTCGATTTTACGGCATAAAGTATAATTTGATCGCCTGTGGTTTTGTATAAAGCGGTTCTGTAACTGGAACAAAGGTGCTCTTACAGACACTCAACGTGGGTGGCAGTACGCAATTTGTGCATTGTGTACAGCAATCTTTGCAGCTGATCGAGTCGCGGTGTCAGCGAAAGTGTATATTATTTTATCTTTGTTGCACATATAAAGTATTTTTTACAACGAACAATGTCAAAGGCAATGTCAAAGTTAACTTTATTGCAATCGGAATTGTACACTGTAGGGCAACACAAATCTCAAACAATTGCGAATGGTGAATGGTGGAATGAATGGACAGGTACGACCTGAAGGGTAGCAAGCTCTTTATGCCCTCTCTTTCTGTGTAAAGCGGGTCCGTCACTCGAAAAAAGGTGCTCTTGTTGCTGTGTGAGTATTATTCTATCTTTGTTGCACATATATAAAGTAGTTTTTATAACGAACAATGTCAAAGTTAACATTACTGAATCTAGCATTGCAAACGACAACAAAAGTCTCAAGTCATTGCGGTTGGTGAATGGCAGAAGGAAGAGAAGGGTACAGCCTGAAAGCGTGGGAAGCAAGCTTTTGACAGAAGCCCGTCACCATGAACTTTATTACTACTAATTCATATAACTTTCTTTTTTTTTATATACATAGTTGATCAGTTCTTGGCTGTTTTGACAGTTGTACAGCCACTTTCCAAACACACAACATGCTGCGTTGTAGACTTTGGGCTCTATGCTAACTTCTCATACGGATCTCTGTTTAAAATACCATAGAGCTCTATGCTAAGCGCACATACGGATTTTTTACAAGACACAATGGCTTTCGCGACTATGGTTACACAAGAGGGTTCTCATATGTTTTGATGTTGTATTGCACGACAATTCTTATTGCTATTGATTGCTACGATTCTCTTTTCTTTAATAGCCATAGTTGGCGATCACGAAACAGCCGAGACCAGTCCTTCAAGGTGATATATATTGGTTTGGATAACATTCTTAAAGGCATACGTGAGGGGAGAAATATAATTGTTATTGCCATTGATTGCTACCATTCTCTTTTCTTTAATAGCCATAGTTGGCGATCACGAAACAGCCGAGACCAGTCCTTCAAGGTGATATATATTGGTTTGGATAACATTCTTAAAGGCATATGTGAGGGGAGAAATATAATTGTTATTGCCATTGATTGCTACGATTCTCTTTTCTTTAATAGCCATAGTTGGCGATCACGAAACAGCCGAGACCAGTCCTTCAAGGTGATATATATTGGTTTGGATAACATTCTTAAAGGCATACGTGAGGGGAGAAATATAATTGTTATTGCCATTGATTGCTACGATTCTCTTTTCTTTAATAGCCATAGTTGGCGATCACGAAACAGCCGAGACCAGTCCTTCAAGGTGATATATATTGGTTTGGATAACATTCTTAAAGGCATACGTGAGGGGGAGGGGGTAGCAACAATATTATTATTGGTACTTGATATGACCTTTTATTTATAGTTGACAATGAAGATATGGCCGCTGCCAATTTCATCAGTGCAATTTATGACGGTTTGACAATCTCTTTTATGAAACGTGGGGATCGTGATGGATTTTTATAAGTGAAGCGTACCCAGCAATACTATTGATATTCGATATGACCTTCTTCTCTATATAGTTCACGATCAAGCAATGACTGCTCACAGTTTCATCAGCGCAATTTATAACGGTTTGACACTTTTTTATATGAAAGATGATTATTATAAGTGAAGCGTACCCAGCAATACTATTGATATTCGATATGCCCGTCTTCTCTATATAGTTCACGATCCAGCAATGACCGCTCACAGTTTCATCAGCGCAATTTATAACGGTTTGACACATTTTCTCATATGAAAGATGATTATTATAAGTGAAGCGTACCCAGAAATACTATTGATATTCGATATGCCCTTCTTCTCTATATAGTTCACGATCAAGCAATGACTGCTCACAGTTTATAGAATTGCCACGGCGATTACTTAGTAGGTGGAGTATACCTAGTATACCCAGGTATACCCCAGGTATACTCAAAATTTTTTATTTGATATTTAGATAGAAAAACCGTCCAGGAACACGATTTATTATGTGGAAAACTCCGACCTAATTAATAGGTTGTGGAGATATAAGCCATTTCATTCAGGTTTCTCCGCTAATTTTTAAAAATGCCTGAAACGCCCTCAGGCAACAATTCGGACAACCCTACACCATTGCTCGACCCTCGCCTCTCATGGGCTCAAGTAGCCCAAAAGAAGCGGGTGTCTCTTCTCCACAACTCCTATTCCGTCTCTCAAGATACATCACGCCAACAGCAGACGGTCATCTACTCTCACGTCTGGCGCGTGGGCCGATCGCCAAACGCTGTCTTCTTCGATGTTAGTTCTCGTCCCGGCAAAGTCACTGACATTCTCAAACTTTGACTGAACAATACGCACACATCAATGGCGTCCAGCACCACACCGAAGGTCCTCGCGTCATTCTCGAAGTTTACTTCCAGCAACCAGACGACTACCGTCGTGCTCTCGAACAAGGCCTGGAATTCCCAAAGCAAACGTTTATCCACGGCACCCCTGGCCTCTACCCTACCACCCAAATCAAGAAAATCTGCCTGACACGCCTACCTTTCCTGAGTCCCGAGGCCCTAGTGCAAGGTCTTCAAACGACCATGGCCATGTACGGCCGTGTCATGGACGTAGGTGTCTACCGCGACCAAACAACCAATCTCTTCATGGGAAACGGTTTTGCAGTGATTGATCAACAGCTGCTGGAACGCGAACAAGCGTTCACCACTTTGGACCACCATATCCCCTGGTGCGGGGATGAAAACAACCTCGTTTACGGCACATTTTCTGAAATGAAACCACACTGCTCCCGATGTCACTCTGCTTCTCACGTCGTTCGTGAATGCCTGCTGCGCCGCAGCAACCAATGAGAGTGCTGGTCCTGTGGCAAAAAAGGCCACTTGTCCTATCACTGCCCCGACAAACATGCATATGTGTCAGGCAAACAACCAGGCACTCGCCGCAAAACCAACCCACAATCAGAGAACGAACAGTAAGCTTCCTCTTCTCCCAACCGCAAACGAAACCGCAACAAAAGATCGGACGCGCCTCCGGCGACGCCACCCGCACGCGCACCACCAGCATCTGACGTTTCCACACCATCGTTGGAACCAGACGTTAGCAATGGCATTCAAGAGCCAAACCCTGGGACCTCTGATGCCGACGTCTTGATGGACACGTCCATGGAACTCGAGGCGTCCATGGATGAAGCACTTTCCGAGCTCCTCGATGATACCACCCGTTCGAAACTGGTCACACCTAAGATACAACAATAAGTCTCGACCATTCAGCTCCATCGCGAATGGTTCCGCAAATTACCAATGTCTGAGGACGCCATGCTCATCTTTGAGCAATCCGAAGTCTCCGCTGATGAAGAAAAGTTGCTCGCTACACTCCTCCTCTCCAAGCTGACTCAGATGGCTCAATCTGATAGCTGCGCAGCTGATCACTTACTAACGATCGAACGCTCGGGTTACATCCGCTTTCAGAGCGTACATGCCCGGACCGAGACAACCGAAGCTGGATTATAACTAATCCTTTGACTCACATCACTAAATACTCAATCATGATATCTTTAAAAACAAACAATATTAACGTCCTTACACTCAACTGTAATGGACTCACAAAAACCAACAACTCACAAGCCCGCTCCTCTCTCATCCGCTTTCTACGGCGGCAATCAGCTCATATCATTGCGTTACAAGAAACGCACGCCACCACCACCAAACTTCGCGAAACATTCCACAAACAATTCTACGCGACTTCCTCTATTTGGACCATGCACTGCGGCATTGTCTCGCTTTCACCCGATATCACTCTCACTGAAATACCATTATCGATTGGTCCCCGGGCCCAACTCGTTCGACTTCAACACGATCACAACGCCTTTGAAGCATTCTTCTTGCTCAACATATACGCCCCGGCAACAACTGCTCAGCAACGCCGCTACTTTTTCAACACACTCCAGTCAGCACTCACCACTCTCAGCACCACCACATACTTCACCGACCGCCTCATCATTGCAGGCGACTTTAACTACAGCACCAGTCGACCACAACTTCATCTCAACGCTCCTTCGTCATGGTTTGCTTGGCTCGAGGACTGCTTTATCGACTGCATCAAGTCCGATCCCACACTAGCACCTCTCCCCACGTTTCGTAGGGGGACCGTATCATCAGCCATCGACTACCTGTACGCAGCAAACTCCTTCCGTAATTCGCTGCGCTCCCGTGAAGTCACCATCTTGGACCGATCATGCTTTGCTATCAACTACCATCTGTCTAGGCCCGCCCCAATCTGGAAAGGGCTACTGGCGAGGTAACCCGCTGATCCTTCGTGACCATGTCTTCCAGCAACAACTTGCGACAGCACTATCCGACCACTTCCCTCGTCTGCAAACCTTCCCATCCGCTCAAAGCAAATGGGAGGCGCTCAAGCTGGTTCTACAACACCAAATGAAGTCCTACTCCCGCAAGAAGTCCAACTGGCGAAAAGCCGAGTTGGCCAAGCTCCAATCCCGCCGCAATGCTTTCCTTCGATCCAACCCACCAATGGGCATCCGCAACTGGCGCCTGCCCGCGATGGAAAAACAGATCTCCATGCTATAAGAAGAACTCACAGATATCGACGCATTACGCTCCGGCCAACGATGGCGCGAACAAGGGGAGGTCTCAGCTAGCTACCTGAAACGTACCATCACGCAACGACAGCAAGCCCGCAACATCACGTCATTGCAACATCCACACACCGGCGTACTTTGTACCCAGACAGCCGATCTTCAAGACGCTGCACGAAGCTTTTACCAAGACCTTTATACCCCGGACGTCATCAATCAAGAAAGCGTCGGATTAATGCTTGCTGCCATCCCCAACACTGCCAAGCTCTCCGCCGCCTCCCAAGACGCTTTAACCGCTGAATTTGACATTGAGGACCTACAAATGAACGCCCAACGCACATCTAAACATAGCAGTCCAGGACCGGATGGGCTACCCTATAGTGTGTGGTACCTAGTATTTAAACATCCTCTTTATGAATCACTAGCCAAAGAAGTCTTCCGGGATGCTCTCACCCATGCTCGCTACCCTAGTTCCTGGACAGCCACCAGCATGTGCCTGCTCCCGAAAAAGGGGGACTTAACGACTTTGAAAAACTGGCGACCAATCGCTTTGATCAACTGCGACGCCAAAATCTTCACCTGGATCCTCAACCGCCGCATGCTCGCTGCCGCCAAAGATGTCATCACGCCTTTTCAAAGCGGCTTCATGCCCAATCGCTTCATCGCCAACAATGGACTCTTGACGCGCCTGGTCATGGAACAAGCTCAAATCGATGACAGCTCCGGTCTTTGCTTAGCCTTAGATGCCGAAAAAGGTTTCGATAGAGTCAATCTTACTTACCTAACCCGAGTACTCGATACTTTTGGCTTTCCTCCTAGGATTACGCATAGCATCATTGAACTTTTCTCAACGACTAGCATCCATCTGAATATCAACGGCCACATCGCAAGTCCCATCCAGCAAAATCGTGGTTTACGACAAGGGGATCCGCTCTCGCCAACATTATTCAATATTGCCCTCGAGCCACTTTTACGCGCGATTATAGCCGACGAGCAGTTCCAAGGAATCACGCCATGGCACTACTCTAGGGCCACCTCAACTCTATTAGCTCCTTTGAAAGTACTGGCATATGCCGATGATGTCATGGTATTCTTGAATAATCAAACTGATCTGACTCGCCTTTTTGCTCACCTCGACTGCTATCAGCAAGCGTCCAACGCCAAACTCAACAGACACAAGACGCAAGCTATCTGCCTATCTGGTGCACCGCTGCCAGCTTGGACCTCAGCACTGGCAGCTCACGGCATCCCACAACCACATGATCGCACTAGCAACGAAGCAGTAAGCTACCTGGGATTCCCTTTGGCCTCCTCTCAAGCACAGCTTGATCGGTTCCTGGAACAGCTCCTACACAACATCCAAAAAGGCTGTGATGCACATTCACACCGGCAACTCTCGGTTCGTGGCTGCGCCACCATCGCCAACTCACTCATCTTAGCAACCCTTTGGCATGTCCTTCGCCTGACACTGACCACCACCAAGTTTCTCAGTCGCATCACGTCCATTATCAGCCACTTTGTCAACCACCGGATGTTCCTACCGATCGCTTTTGCTACTCTTCGACAACCCCGCAAACATGGTGGTCTCGGCATTCTTGATCCACATACGCAGCAACACGTCCTTCAGCTTCGTTGGATCGAGCCTTTGGTGCAACTTTCACCACATCCGCCCTATCACATTGCCTGTCTGTCCGAGCACTTGCTCAAATGCAGCCGTTTCCCAACAGTCGATTTGCCTGCTCTGTTGTTTTGTCCATCAGCCCGTAAAGACATCCGCACAAGCACAATGTCCATCACCAAATTGATCTTCCGTGCCTTTGACAGCATGCCCATAGACTGGACTCAGACCAACCTCTCTGCCACTACGTGTCTCGAATTACCCTTCAACGCAGCTTGGGAACCAATCCCTGGGACCCGTCTACCTCATCAACCTGGCTTCAAACACATTCTCGTGAAGAACCTCTATATACTCGACCCTGCTCTTAGATACCTCCGACTTCGCCGCTGTGACGATGGTACGCCCTCCCGCTACTTACTTGCCAAGCTACGACAACATTTGCATCACCACCGCCTCCGTCTCCGACCTTTCTTTCGTCGACTGACCGAACCAACACATGAAGCCGACACTGCAACACACTCGCCAACATCTTCAACCAGCAGTGCAGACTTCACGGCTCTTTCCTACCACTTCTGCAACAGAATGGCAACAGCAGGCTGGACCACACAGGGTTTCCGCAACCTCCTCACTCCAGCCACATCACCCGACGTCAACATTGCGTGGTCCAACTTCTGGCAGATCCCAACAGAACACCAAGGCCGCAACATTTGGTACCGCCTACTTCACAACCACCTACCGACAGCCTCGAGAGTCCACCGCATAGCACCAGCTTTTCTTCCCTCACCAAGCTGTCGCTTGTGCCTTGCGCCCATCGAAGATACTAATCACTTCCTGTATTATTGCCTGAAAAAAGAACTAGTGTGGCGACTGGCTTGGGCACCGTTTCACTATGCCGATCCACACCTACCGGCTATCGCACATGCGATGAAGACTGCTATCTTCGCACGCCGCTCTTGCTCCCAACCCAAAACCGCTCTTCTCTGCATCGCCATCATTCAAGCGATCTGGTCAGCACATTAGTCTTTCATATTCGACGACCATCCTTTCATTCCACAGGTAGTAGCTGCTCATACCACTGCCATCTATCACCGCACATATAAATAGTTTTCTCTTTCCATCACTTCTCTGTTCCTCATTTTCTCATACATGTATTCACACCCAATAGTCAGTCACTCCTCTGGACACTCTGTTGGAAATAAAATTTTGCCTCCAGGCCATAAAAAAAACAAAAAAAAAAAATATAAGCCATTTACTATTGAGCACAGGGTAATCCCTAGTAAGTATGCCCAGTATACCCAGGTATACCCCAGGTATACTCAAAATCTTTATTTGATATTTGGATAGCAAAACGGTCCAGGAACACAATTTATTACAGGATTTTTCATCTCCTAGCGGACGTTTGAACTTTTATTTAGGCAGAGTGGACATGAATGTTAATCTGAGTGGACATGAATGAAAATCGAACTGGACATGAATGAAAATTGATCTGGACATGAATGAAAATCGAGCTGGACATGAATGAAAATCGATCTAGACATGAATAAAAATCGAGCTGGACATGAATGAAAATCGAGCTGGACATGAATAAAGATTGATCTGGACATGAATAAGGATCGACCTGGACATGAATTAAAATCAATCTGGACATGAGTAAAATCAATCTGGACAAGATAATAATCAATCTGTACATTAATGAAAATCAATCTGGACATGAATTAAAATCAATCTGGACATGAGTAAAATCAATCTGGATAAGATAATAATCAATCTGTACATTAATGAAAATCAATCTGGACAAGAATAATAATCAATCTGGACAAGATAATAATCAATCTATACATTAATGAAAATCAATCTGGACAAGAATAATAATCAATCCAAACACAAATAATAGACAACCTGGACATAATAACAGTCAGCCTGGACATAGTTTTAGTCAACTAAGACTTCAAAAAAGTTGAAGAAGTAGATAATATATTAAGTGTAGCAGAGTAGATCAGCAGAATTTGTAAGTACTTAAGATTTTCAAATCAAGTCAAGACATAATAAAAGTTAAGCAGTACAAAGCCAAAGTCAAGTAAGATATAGTATGGCTGTTTCACTCGTGATAGGAAGCTTTCAGGCTAACGTACAGGAAATGGCAAGAGTGCGTTAGAGACTCACTGTGTGCACAAGCCTACTATTTTGCTGTGGGAACAGGGTCTGAACGTTAAATTGGAGGGGGGTGGCTGAGGTAGGTGGAAAGTGTGGGGTTTGTTAGCGGAAGCAGGGAGGAAAAAACAACAACAACCAAAGATCCGTTTTTTTTTTCTCATTACCATTCGCCTTGCAAATCAACAGCTGCGACGCACACTTGTAAATGGCTCCTACTCTCTTCACGATGAATAGAAGAAAAAAGAAAACAAAACGGCACAATCCACAGATTTCTTGAAAAACGAAATGAAGGTAATTGTTTTCTTAAAAAAAGCACGTGCTCAAGATTTGTAAGGAGTAGACCGCCGTTACTGCTTAAAAAACGCCGGGTAAGTGAACAAGGGAAGGAAAAGGTTATCGGTTGTGCTTGGGGTATAGCTTTAGTGGACATATGCTCATTCAGAATTACTGTTTCTTTCTCTTTTTCTCTGTATATACTTGATGCACCATCTTGCACCATTCCAACTTAAAACTTACGTGTGTAATACAACATCGTCTTCGACTTGCATAATCGATTCGTACTCACAACAACAACGACGCAACAATCTTTTTCTCCATTACTCAAACACAATTATATACAACATGACGCTGATCCGCCATTGGCTTGTAAAACATACAACCTGACGCGATTACTTTGCTCCTTTTGCATATACCAACATTAACATCGCCGGTCTTGATGGATAAATGAGCTGTAGATAGCTGGAAGGATAACTGACGGGTTTCTTTCCTTTTGTGTTGATGTGGATTGGATGAAATTAAAGTATGATGACCGTTATATAAGAAAGATAACAAAGAAGGTTTTACAAGAGTTATACAAGTGCGAAGGATGTTGTTTCGTGGATACGGATGGTTATTGTAATTTTTGACATTGCGTGGCAGAGCGTTTGGTGCCATTCACAGTCTCGCGTTTGTGAGCCCATTTGTATCCACACAATTCCGAGATGCGATCCTTGAAGATCTGCTATTGAGCAGCAGGAACGCACACGATTTCATCAGGAATGAGTGCAAGAACGCCAGGTACAGTCGAGTGAGAGAGAGCGTTGCGAATGTTGTCAAGGGTAGTAACTTGTCGCTTGTTCATAGTTGTTGTAATAGCAAAGAAACTTCCTCCTTCAAAACAACATACGCCTTTTCTTTTCTGTCCCTGCCATATAATCATCGCCGTTCCCAACCATATCTATAGGTTCTAAGAAGCACTTGTAATGACATTCAATCCCATCTTACACCCGTAATGCAGACAACTGAGATATGATGACGGCATAATGTATGATCTTTTACTTTTTTTTAGCAACCATAGCATCTGCAATAACAATAATAAAATCTACATTCCATCCATCAATATATATAACTACTTTATCAATCAGGACCAGCAATGTTGTTGGTATATGCAAAAGGAAAAAGGTAATCGTCGTTGCCATCGTGTGTGTGCAAGTACAATGAATTGCAGAGGAGGATTATTCCTGTGGTGGTTTGTATGCATCATAAGAAATATAATTATTATCGCATTAATGTATGTACACACAGTAGAAAAAGAGGTGACCATCATTATGATGATGATGATGATGATGTGCGTGTGCATACAAGTATGAAAACAAATGACCGGCGTCATAGTCGTCATCATGTAATGTGGGTGTAGATGATAGTAAAAGGAAATCGTGTCAGGTTGTAAGTTTACTTAGAGCCTAAGCTTCCACGTCGAAGCCATCATTTGTCCCTTCTTTATCTTTATTCCTTTAAACTTAGTTGTACACAATGTGTATCCTGATCCATAAAAATTTATCTTTTCAACCTATTGCCTCCAATAAACACTGGTAGCGCGATAAGCAGCACCAAATAATCATTCTGGATTATGTATAATTATCGGAATCTGGTGGTGCTATTTGCTGAAAAGAGAGGATGATTGTAGAATACGGGTGCCGATCGTTTACTGAGCGAATAATGTGGTGGTCGTATTGGCGGAAAGTTAATGGTTAGTGACATCGTGTCTGTCTTGATGGCGCAATCTATGTAGGCACTAGTGAATAAGAAGCAATATCGTAGTGAGTGCTGTTCTTGAGTATACAACCTTCCCAACAATGATCAGTCTTTTATATATCCAACATTGCAGATAGTAGTCATCTGGCTGTATTCCCTTTGTTTCCACGTGCGTTTGGTAAGCACACAACAAACACGCTCCCAATCCAGCAGTCTAGCTGTCTCTATCGTTCTATCGCCTCGCAAAGCGACTGTGGGTACATCCGTCAATCCCATTTTCTGAGTGAAGATTGTGCATGCAAAGCAAGAAGTACCACTATATTAAATAAAGACCGACAATACTCTAAGAACTTCGTTTTTTTAAAGCAAGAGCTACGTTTGCGACTTTTTACGGGCCAGTCCTGACGCTCCACAGTACTATACCATATGTCAATCTTGACTCGCCATCTACCATAACAAACTGCTGATTTTGATGCTCCATTAGCTACGGCTAGCTGTGGCCCATTGTCAAAAAGTTACTTTGAATTGTAGACCTGTGATGCTAATCCTTCTGTTACTGTACAAAACACAAGGCCGTTCTTTTCCTGTACTTGTTGCTGCTAACTCTTTTCCTTTTGGCGCTTCATCCCCTTTCTTATTGAGCTACATATTAGTTTCGCGTAGCTGACGTCTTGTGAGTAAAAAAAGGAAGGAAGAAAGAACTATCTGAGCAATCATTGGTTAATCGGCAATGTAAACAAAAAAAGCGTTGTACTACACGTTCACTGTGCGTATGCAGTCCTAATGGATAAGGGATGTGGTTGTGCTTGAATACACCTCTTTACCTCTATCTCCTCGTATAACCAGTATGTATATCGTCGCCCGGACGTATTATTGATAGTGAGGATCGATGTTCTTGGCTGAAACTGACCTCGGTATAAGCTACGATAGCACTCAGTACATATGCAACGCATAATATTACTAACTGAATCTTGGAATATGTGCGTAAGAGAAGTACTATTGTGTGAAAGTCTATCTGTAGCTTCCCTTAAGCTGCGCTGCAGGTGATTATCTTGCATTCTGTTATGTAACATATGAAAGCCAAAATGCCAGTTGTCGTCTGCACTACACAAAGATACAAATTACAAGAACCTGTGAGGTCCAAAAAGGTGCAAATGGTGGTCTGAGATTTGAAGTCTACCAAAAAAAAATGTTTCACAATCTTCCGTAATTAATTTTTAGCAAACAAATACTAAATATAAAGGCAAATATATGAATATAAGAGAAGCTTGTACCCCAATCCGTTTTATCAACTTCAAGTTATACACCATGGAATCCAGTCGCGCTACTAACAACTACGAGCAAGACAATGAGAGCAATCTCATAAGAAACTTTAGCAATGTCAGCCTGACTGAAACAGCTGCTATCAGTATGTACATTGTTTCATCAGTTGATTTATTTTAACATTATGCACTTCATATTTGACTCAATGCATCGATGTTATGGTAAATCATAAAGATGACGATGCTCACCATGACTAAGGTGCAAACACTATGGGTGAGAATGAGGATGGTATGTTTGGATTTTAAACTACTTGCATCTTGTAATATAAATCTGAATGGCGTTAACTTGAGGTACCTATAAGTTTCTGTGGAAGACATCGACGTGGACACCCCCTCAAACCAGACCAGGGATGTCTAGCCAAGTGGCAGTCGGAAGGCTACTTCCGTCAAAAGACGGAAGTATAACAAGATAACCGATGCTCAGCTCCAGCACTTGCTGTCTCTGTCTTTAGACAGGGGCATGTCATCCAAGAAACTGGGCACGCGTTTGAATGTGCCAGAAGGCAGCATACGCACTATCACTGCGCACTACAACAAGGGCCAGCTGCAACGCAAGCAAAGAGGCCGCAAGACTGTAACGGTCCTTACACAGGACCACTACAAGTACCTCCGAGCGCTTATAGATGGCAACCCCGATGCCACGGTATCCTACCTCGTCGATGCCATTAAGCGACACTTTGTCGACAAAGTAGCACCATGGACTTTGCTCAGGTACTTGCGCAAGAACTTGCGCATTACTATGCAAAAGTTCAAATCGTTTCCAGAGGCAACTAGTGACAGCGGAACTGGGTCGGTTGGAGCAATTTGTGAGGAAATGTCGATTCGAGATGTAGTAGACCCTTTGCGCAACTGCATCTTCATTGGTGAAGCGGCATTTTTCATCCGTGCAAGAAGGATGTACCCGATGAAAGAGAAGGAACAGGAGCGGATGATGACGAATAACGGTGATTGCCTCCCCGCCTTCTGCTTACTTGCTGCTGTCTCAGCAAAGGGTCTCTTAGCCATAGAGAAACATGTGACGAATGGCAAAACGACTACTCAACACGTCGTCTCCTTCCTTGAGAAGGTTTTCGACTGGCTTGACGAAAAACGTCAGCTCAACCGCGTTCTAGTTTTCGATGCGGTTTCAGATGACTTCAAGACCTTGATAACCACGAAGGTGATGGAGCGAAACCACCGCGTGTTTTTTCTTACTTGTTGTTCATCATCGATGAACCCGGTGGACGACATGTTCGACACTGCGCAAAGAGATTGCCCGCGTCAAGGTCTTGATGAGCTAAACGATATGGATACTGCTTCGGAACGACTCAGTAACGTACTTCGTGGACTGTCAGCTGAAGATATAAAAGCAACCATCGGCTACACGTACAGGATGTTGAGTGCAAACGAAGAAACCACTTAAAAATTTTCTTCTCTGCAACTTTTTACTTTCCCCCTTGATTCTTTTTACCCATTTCATTCCATACTATCAATCCTTTTTTCTCACCTGCTTCTTTTTGCTTTTGCATGAACTTGCTCGATCAACCCTAGCTTCTCTATTATAGTAGTTGAAGTATCAAAAAGGCTGCAAGACTATATGACATGTCGGTAATGGGTAAAAACTAAGCAGGTATCTTTTCAAGTTCTTAGGGGAAGGGGTATCAGGAAGAAAAAAGGTGCTCGCTGTTTCGGCATGACCACAGTCTATACTCCTTAGGGTGACTATGAGCAGCTGTACGCTGCTTCTACGCGTAACTTACTTGATCCATATAATCGTTTACTCGAACTACGCAATGTGCAACGCATAAGAGCGAACCATCTCGTCGTATGCTATTGCTGTATAACAGAAGCTGGCTCAAATGTAAGCACCGTTCCACAGGAGTGCGCTCTACAGTATAGAGCATAGTACAGTGATGCGGCAATCACAAAAAACAAACTGTATTGGCTTATTGCATAATGGTTGCCATGGCAATTAAAAACGTTGCAGTCAGATGCGCGAACCAACTCAATAAGGAATCTTATACTCTGTATATAGCGCCTAAAAAGTAGTAGGGCAGTGAGAGTATGTATATGAAGTGCGTGCTGTGTTCTAGCATTGGTGAGTTGTGGTTGTCGTCCAGTTGTAAACCACATGCTGATCAGAGGTTGGCGTTAAATACATGGCATAAAATGTTTGGGTAGTTCTATATAGCAATGACAGGTCTGATGTATCGAGTTCTTATTCTCATTCCTTTGCTATGTGGAAGGTATGACAGATAACATGGAGTACATTAGGCACACGACACTTGAAAAATAGATTCTTCGTAAGCAGCAGCGATCATTAATAATAGTCATAATCAAGATAGGATTCTCATTGGAAGCAAAAGTCTATAATCTCAGGATTGATAATTTAACAATCCAAAGGCGATAGTTCTTAATCCTAAGGACAGAAATATTATCAAAAAGGGTGATTCCATAAATCAGATTGCTTTGCCTTTTGTTGCTTAAATCTTTCAATTTTCCATGGTCACTTTACGTATCCAAAAGGATGTGTAATGCTCTCAGGAGCTATCAAAGGTACTTGAAATTCACAAAATGTAACGATAGGCGACAAATAGTGCAGGCGCAAACAGGCGTAATTATGAATGCAGTATTACAGGCGAAAAATATCACGTTTAGACAAATATGTTGGCTGCAGCAATATTTGCTTTGCAGTTGGTCTAGTAATTTTTATTGGGTAGTACACGTATACAAAGGTAAGGGGATGGAGAGAATTCTTTTAAAAGCTAGATTACTATCATCACATTTCTCTTAATTTTGAACTATGTCTTCAAGAATTGTTCCCACCATCACTACGTCTTTCTCAGGTGGAGATGCTGTTGTTCCAAGTATTGATTTTTGTACGCAGAAACAGCGAGACAAATTTATCAATCTGTATTTCTATAGAAGCAACGATAGGACGTGGGAACAAGCAGCCCGGGCTTCTGGAATATCAGATGATACTGCTGCTCAAATAATGAGAGAATTCAACGAGCAGTTGGACCATTATATCCGTGTTATGGATGCAATGAGTGAAGCTCGTGGTGATGAACCTGGTTAGTATTTTGGTGCATTTATAGCTTGTGTAGCAGACCAAAACGCTCATATATGGTAAAATTTGCTAGTACTCTTGTGAATTCGAGTAAATGATATCATAAAGAAGTCATATCCGGTTTTTTTAAGAGTGGCTCGACTGCAATAGTTAAATTTCAACTACCTCGACGTTAGCCTAGTATACAGAAGCATCTATAAAAAACCCATTTCTACTTACACACTTAGCAACTACAAACTGATACGTGTCTATTCAATCATCTGGACCGGGTCCTTTGTTTACAAACATCCCAAATGCTGAGACACATGTATTTATTATCCTCCACCTTTTTTAAACTTTTTCATACTCCATATACTTCATGCATATAGCAAGCTATGATATAGTTTAAAAACGAAGGTTGAATGGTGATATACTGTAGTAGGTGATATTGACTACTTAAAATTTCGAATTTGATGGGTTCTATCTCTAAACGCAGCTGTCGATCTGACAACAGATGGCACATGTTAATCCTTTATTTGCTGCTGTTATGGGTTTTGTTTACTTATGTTTTCTTTATTAAGTACTTGGATCTTATTTGCTTACAAACATGACGGTAATGTATTGGCCTAGGTTTAGAGGTGACACTTCCCCTTTTTTGGTGTGGTCGCTTCTAATTCTAAATGCAAACCAGGTTGTAATATGTGGGGTCCCGTAGAACAACACATGATTTGTGGATCGATTGCTTAATTGAAACCTTTCTCCTATTTCAGAAACTATAGCATTCTCTCTCGCTTTATACTCCCTCTGAACCCTTGACCTGAACATGAACAGCTCTCCACATAAGTCAAAAACCCGTGCTTCTCGTTCATTGCATATACCTGCTTCTCGTTCATCGCACAGAGTGCAAAAGAGAAGTAAAGCACGCTCCACGAAAGTGGACGTCCCCACCATTATTAAGGGGATAAACGAGCTGAGCGTGTCTGAAACGCATAGTGACAATAATACATCTGGTTAGTATGTCAAAACCATCTACTTTTGGCTATTCTAACCTTAAAATATAGAGAATGACGAAGATATTGCATCAAATCTTGTATGGAAGAGGAGCCAAGTAGATGGCTACTAGATACAAACGCACCAGAGCCGGGTAAGTCTGTTTTAATTGTTTCTTATTTTTCGACTACTAAATTATATGATATCTAGATTCAGGCGAGGTTGTGCTTTTCGTTAATGATCAGAATGCGATGATAATATTAGCGAGCAATCCGCTGATGAAATGGAAGTGGATACTGAAAACACAACCTTGTCCACTTTGAAGTCTCTTTTACCATTTATCACTTTTCGACCGCCCTCAACTGAGGATGATATATCAGCAACACAAGCGCACCAACAGCCAGTGAGCCCGTCCCATGCAAGAAAACTCGCTTGGTCAAAAAACGCCAGAGATACACAAAGAAGGAGATATTACTAGCTGTGAACCAGGTGCTAAACGGGGAATGTCGCTATCGCGAGTTGGGCGTTTGTATGGCATGCCCAAATCAACTGTTGGTGGGTACGTGCAAAAATACAATACTGGTGAACTTACATTTTCTGCAGACGATGCAAGGCCAGTAAGGCGGTCAGTCATTACCGATGCGGGCCATATATTTTTGAAAGATTTTGTAACCACCAACAACACGGCCACACTTGAGCAAATGCGCACGGCGTACCAAAAGAAGCATGATGTCATTCTTTCTTCAGCCACCATCTACCGACATCTTCTACGCAAATGCAGTTTGACTCTGAAACAGGCACAGCGCTATCCAGTAGCGCGCACAAGCACAGAGACCAAGGAAAAGTGGGAAAACTATATGCTTGAACACATACAAGATGGTAAACTTGACTACTTGTCGAACTGTGTTTTCATCGATGAAGCGTCCTTTACTGGTACGATGACAAGAAACTCAGCTTGGTCGATTCGTGGCACAGCTGCATATGTCAACGTTCCGGCAATGCGGACTGCATCGAAAATCTTGCTCGCAGCCATCGGCCATACTGGCCTTGTCGAGGCTACCATTAGAACAGCAAAGGAGGAACAAAGGCAGTAGATTTTCTGGCTTTCCTCGGAAGTGTGATGGATAATCTTGACAAGGAAGAAAACCATGGGTATTACCTTGTCTGTGATAATGCGCCAATCCATACACCGGCATATATCACGCAAGCAGTAGAAGAGCGCGGATACCACCTTGTCTTCCTTCCCCCCTACTCTCCCTTTCTAAACCCAATCGAAGAGTTCTTTTCAAAGGTAAAAAACCTTTACAAACAGGCGATCATCAAGGATGACGCCGAAAATGACGCACCAGCAGAAGGCCAGACTACAGAAGATCAGCCAACAGAAGATCAGCCAACAGAAGAGAAAACTCCGGATTGGAAGAAACGTCTGATCAATGCAATCGGCCGCGTCCCAGTGAAAGATTATATTGCATGGATCACGCACTCCACCACTTTCTTTCCCCGTTGCCTTGCAAAAGAAGACAACCTTTAATTAAATACCTCATTTCCTGAGCTTCTCTTTTATTATCTCTCTATATGCCCTTTTCTTCTCGTAATTCTATTTCCTCTTATCCATCTTCATCTCTTTTCTACTTTTCCATCATGCTCATCACGCCCTTGTCGCGGAACTCTCGAAACAAGGAACATGTAGGCGCAGAACCTGAAACGCCAGCAGCTCAACTTATACAGGTGACTGTCGCACATTTATAATCCAATTTTTTTGAATGTTTATCTTCTTCTGTTAGAGTAATCCAGTGCGTTCGGGAGAGATATGGTTCTTGTTGTTTGTACAGCAGCAGCAGGAGAAAGAGAAACAGAAACGACGCTTTGCTTTGACGAGATAGGTGTTTTTATACAATTATAGAGTAGCCCAATAAAGAAACGCCTAAAGAACTCTATAGTACACACTCCTCTGTGCATGTGTCCTTGTCGCAGGTCTTCTGTTTCTAACTTCTGACACTACTCTTCCGTGTGGTCCCAACGAAGACCAAGGAATAACTCTGTACTTCAGCACTGTTATCTCCTCCTTCGCCACTGCTTCTTTGTCCTTCTCTACTACTTCTTTGTCCTTTGTTAATGCTGCATCCACTAAATGCGTGCTTGCAACGGGAACTTCTTCACAGATGTTGGGGGCTACAGAGAATATCAGAAAACATAGAGCATTATAAAATTGGCCAGTATATCAATCATAGTACCAGTTTCCAAAGTTAGGCTCCGTATCGCTTCAGTTACAAGGGCAATTGGACTAGGAGCTCGGTCTTCATCGTTAAGAGCGGTGGATGTTTTGGCTTGTTGCTTAGCGATATATTTTTTCAAGGACTTCAGTCCACGTGCAGCTTCTTCGATTTGCTCCTTAGTCGGCCTCGGTTTTGTCACAGATCCTTTCCTTGCCGAAGCCTTTCTCTTTTGCTGTTGCTGCTGTTTTGGAGATGATTGCTTCTTGACCTTTGCCATTATAGAGCACGGATGGACTTTGGGAGAAAGAGGCAAACAAAAATTTTATCGGAAATCACATGCATATAAAAGCTGTAATACGCAGGCATCCTTTTCCTTTTACTATCATCTACACCCACATTACATGATGACGACTATGACGCCGGTCATTTGTTTTCATACTTGTATGCACACGCACATCATCATCATCATCATCATAATGATGGTCACCTCTTTTTTTACTGTGTGTACATACATTAATGCGATAATAATTATATTTCTTATGATGCATACAAACCACCACAGGAATAATCCTCCTCTGCAATTCACTGTACTTGCACACACACGATGGCAACGACGATTACCTTTTTCCTTTTGCATATACCAACAACATTGCCGGTCCTGATTGATAAAGTAGTTATATATATTGATGGATGGAATGTGATTATATTATTGTTATTGCAGATGTTATGGTTGCTAAAAAAAAGTAAAAGATCATACATTATGCCGTCATCATATCTCAGTTGTCTGCATTACGGGTGTAAGATGGGATTGAATGTCATTACAAGTGCTTCTTAGAACCTATAGATATGGTTGGGAACGGCGATGATTATATGGCAGGGACAGAAAAGAAAAGGCGTATGTTGTTTTGAAGGAGGAAGTTTCTTTGCTATTACAACAACTATGAACAAGCGACAAGTTACTACCCTTGACAACATTCGCAACGCTCTCTCTCACTCGACTGTACCTGGCGTTCTTGCACTCATTCCTGATGAAATCGTGTGCGTTCCTGCTGCTCAATGGCAGATCTTCAAGGATCGCATCTCGGAATTGTGTGGATACAAATGGGCTCACAAACGCGAGACTGTGAATGGCACCAGACGCTCTGCCACGCAATGTCAAAAATTACAATAACCATCCGTATCCACGAAACAACATCCTTCGCACTTGTATAACTCTTGTAAAACCTTCTTTGTTATCTTTCTTATATAACGGTCATCATACTTTATTTTCATCCAATCCACATCAACACAAAAGGAAAGAAACCCGTCAGTTATCCTTCCAGCTATCTACAGCTCATTTATCCATCAAGACCGGCGATGTTAATGTTGGTATATGCAAAAGGAGCAAAGTAATCGCGTCAGGTTGTATGTTTTGCAAGCCAATGGCGGATCAGCGTCATGTTGTATATAATTGTGTTTGAGTAATGGAGAAAAAGATTGTTGCGTCGTTGTTGTTGTGAGTACGAATCGATTATGCGAGTCGAAGACGATGTTGTATTACGCACGTAAGTTTTAAGTTGGAATGGTGCAAGATGGTGCATCAAGTATATACAGAGAAAAAGAGAAAGAAACAGTAATTCTGAATGAGCATATGTCCACTAAAGCTATACCCCAAGCACAACCGATAACCTTTTCCTTCCCTTGTTCACTTACCCGGCGTTTTTTGAGCAGTAACGGCGGTCTACTCCTTACAAATCTTGAGCACGTGCTTTTTTTAAGAAAACAATTACCTTCATTTCGTTTTTCAAGAAATCTGTGGATTGTGCCGTTTTGTTTCTATTCATCGTGAAGAGAGTAGGAGCCATTTACAAGTGTGCGTCGCAGCTGTTGATTTGCAAGGCGAATGGTAATGAGAAAAAAAAAACGGATCTTTGGTTGTTGTTGTTTTTTCCTCCCTGCTTCCGCTAACAAACCCCACACTTTCCACCTACCTCAGCCACCACCCTCCAATTTAACGTTCAGACGCTGTTCCCACAGTAAAATAGTAGGCTTGTGCACACAGTGAGTCTCTAACGCACTCTTGCCATTTCCTGTACGTTAGCCTGAAAGCTTCCTATCACGAGTGAAACAGCCATACTATATCTTACTTGACTTTGGCTTTGTACTACTTAACTTTTATTATGTCTTGACTTGAATTTAAAATCTTAAGTACTTACAAATTCTGCTGATCTGCTCTGCTACACTTAATATATTATCTACTTCTTCAACTTTTTTGAAGTCTTAGTTGACTAAAACTATGTCCAGGCTGACTGTTATTATGTCTAGGTTGTCTATTATTTGTGTTTGGATTGATTATTATTCTTGTCCAGATTGATTTTCATTAATGTACAGATTGATTATTATCTTGTCCAGATTGATTTTACTCATGTCCAGATTGATTTTAATTCATGTCCAGGTCGATCCTTATTCATGTCCAGATCAATCTTTATTCATGTCCAGCTCGATTTTCATTCATGTCCAGCTCGATTTTTATTCATGTCTAGATCGATTTTCATTCATGTCCAGCTCGATTTTCATTCATGTCCAGCTCGATTTTCATTCATGTCCAGCTCGATTTTCATTCATGTCCAGTTCGATTTTCATTCATGTCCACTCAGATTAACATTCATATCCACTCTGCCTAAATAAAAGTTCAAACGTCCGCTAGGAGATGAAAAATCCTGTATAATGAAAAGTCCGACTCAATTAATAGGTTGTGGAGATATAAGCCATTTATTATTGAGCAAAGGCAATCTGTACTAAGTATGCCCAGTATACCCCAGGTATACCCCAGGTATACTCATAATTTTTATTTGATCTTTGGATAAAGAAATGGTACAGGAACACGATTTGTTATGATGAAAAGTTCTACTTCATTAATAAGTTGTGGAGATATAAGCCATTTACTATTGAGCAAAGGGTAATCCCTACTAAGTATGCCTGGTATACCCAGGTATACCCCAGGTATACTCAAAATCTTTATTTGATATTTGGATACCAAAACGGTCCAGGAACACAATTTATTATAATGAAAAGTCCGACTCAATTAATAGGTTGTGGAGATATAAGCCATTTATTATTGAGCAAAGGCAATCTGTACTAAGTATGCCCAGTATACCCTAGGTATACCCCAGGTATACTCATACTGTTTATTTGATCTTTGGATAAAGAAATGGTCCAGGAACACGATTTACTATGATGAAAAGTCCTACTTCATTAATACGTTGTAGAGATGTAAGCCATTTAATATTGAGCAAAGGGTAATCTCAACTAAGTATGCCTAGTAGACCTAGGTCTACCCCAACGTTTTTTATAAAGTATAAATCCATTTGATAAGTAAAATATATTTGAGAATATAAGAATAGAAAGGGATAAGAGTCAAAAAGAGAGAAAGGGATACAAGATAAAAGAGACAAGAGAGATCTAATATAAAAGATAAAAAGGGGAGCAGAGAAGAAGATATAATAATAGTATATATAAAAAATCGAAAAGAGGAGAGAAGAGAGGTAAAGGTTCTATGTGATGAAGAAGTGTGATAAAACTATATGGCCTAAATACATAGCGTTATTTGGATATGTATGGGGCCCAGCAGCTATAAGCCAATAGGCAAAGTCTTGTTGTATTTCGATTGCCGTAAGGTGGTTTTTGCTATAGCCAGCTTGGCGTATGAATTGGGGCTTACGCCGATAGGCTGCCCAGCAGAGACAGTACAAAAGGTCCTCATATGAACCACTACAGTTCGACTAGTTACCATCATGGAAGATGGTTTGGTTCCACTGGTTAGGCATAAGGCATTTCTTACAAAAGCCCTCCCTTACTGGTTTTATACATGCTGGGTTAGAGACATAGTGGTCACCAAAGCAACGGAAACATTGACCAATATGAGCAATGCACTGGAGAGAGGTTGTATGCTCACTTTCGGCTATGCCAAAAGTAAACAAGCAAGGTATGCAGTGATCCTTGGCTATCATCATAACTGACTTGAAATTGTCAGCATCCGATATATACTTTCTCTTTCGAGAAAGACCAAGATATGCATCAGTAGGGGTTGGCTAAGGAAGGGTGTATTGATTAGTACTAATGCTGACAGAGTAATTACAAAGAAGACTTTGTATATACGTACAATCGATGGTGGTGTGTGATCGATAATCCAATCAGTTGAAGGGCGGACAGTAGTTGATGGAGGGAGAGGAGAATCTATATGTAGGTTAGAGCACCTGCAGTGGTCGCTGTTAAGAACCTGTTATGTTAAATTTAACAGTTTATTTAACAGCCAGACCTTGCAGCGGTTGCTGTTAACGTCCTGTTAAATTTAACAGCCCGAACAAAAACTGTTAAGATGGATAATCAGTAATAGTAAAATATCCAAATAAGTTATATATAGAAAATATTATGTAGTTTATTATTTGAAATAGATATTTTATATATTTATATTTATATATTAAAATTGTTGATAAAAAAAAATACTTAGAAAAAAATATTATAATTTATTTATTATTTATCTTCATGTTTAATTTTCTTTTAGATTTAAAAAAATAAGTTTTTTGTTTTATAATTATAATTTTGTTTTGTAGGATAATATTAAATTAGTAAAAAATAAAACACAATATATTAATTAGTGGTGGCGGAATAGTAATGAGCATATCCCTTCTTTAGGCAAGGAAAACTTGGACGCAGCCTAACTTGACAATGATATTTAGAGATGGAAGGTTGCAGAGGGAGGCAAGCCTTCCATAGGTAATTAACATTACCAACACCTTCCTTCAAATTAGAATTAAAAAAATATATATAAATAACCATTTATTCATCTAAATTTAACAGTTTCTTGAATCGAGAAAAAGGACTTGAAAAATAAAGCTATATCTCACTTCATTCTTTGTTTGTATTCTTCAAATTGAACAACGCTACTTCTAACGCTACTCGCCTGTCTGACGTTTCTACCGCTGCCCCCTGCTCAGGAGAAAGGGCAAAGCTTTCATTAAAACCAACGACGTGTGAAGTTAACAACTTCGTAACAGTAACCGCTGCATGAAATGCCCTGTTAAGCTGTTACGCACTGTTAAGCGGGCTGTTAAACTCTGAAATTTAACAGTTTCGTAACAGCGACTGCTGCAGGTGCTCTTAGAAGCTTAAGTATCATTGAGAGCATTAATGATTCAAGTACTGAAAAGAAATGTGTATATACCTTTGATTTTTTGGCAATAAGAGCAAAGCTCGACATTACCGTACCCAAAGCAGTTAGTAACTTGAGAGTCTAAA